TTCTTCCCATATGTTATGAAAAGGTATGTTCTTGTGAAAGGCATCTACACATTAATGTCTTGTTTAATGTTATTTATGGTCTTTTACCATAAATAGGTCTGTGATTATTGTAGGACATTAGTTGTTCAGCTCAAGGAATGTCTGTTGATTAGTGAGACCACTGCATATAGAGATGTTTCAGTAGTTGTGTAGATTTAGAAGCTTTAATTACAGTCAGCAATCTTTGACACACTGCACTGCAAAAGCGCCATATACAATAGGTTACAGATTTAATGTCTAATTGGGTGAGTAAAACAGGCATATTCAAAGCCAAACATGTGTCTTTTTTTATTTCAGTCTTAGTGTTAATATAACCCCTTATTATACATAGAAAAACAACTTGTACCATAGAATAGAAGTCTTAGTATTCTGTTCACTTTGTTTGCCATCTATAATCTAACATCTATAGAAACCCTGGACACCAAAGTGAAAAGCAGAATCTGACTGTCCTCTTTGGTTTCAAGCCTGTTTCACTTTTCTGATATTGCTTGTTGCCATTCCTTACAGCCATTATCACCTCCAGTGTCTTCACTGGTTTCCTCTTCTCGTGTGCTTTTCTGTACATGGAACCACACCCACCAGTGATACTTCAGGTCCTGCAGTTTACATATAAACTGATCAGACATAACATTATGACCACCTGCCTAATATTGTGTAGGGTCCCACTTTTGCTGCCAAAACAGCCCTGACCCACTGAGGCATGGACTGCACAAGACTTCTGAAGGTGTTCTCTGGTATCTGACACCAAAACATCATCAAGATCTGGAGAATTTGGAGGTCAAGTCAACACCTTGAACTCGTTGTGCTCCTCAAACCATTCCTGAACCATTTTTGCGGTGTGGCAGGACATGTTATTCTGCCACACCATTAGGGAACACCGTTGTCAGGAAAGGGTGTACTTGGTCTGCAACAATGTTTAGGTAGGTGGTACATGTCAAAATAATGTCCACATGAATGCCAGGACCCAAGGTTTCCCAGGAGAACATTGTCCAGAGCATCACACCGCCTCCGCTGACTCGCCTTCTTCCAATAGTGCATCCTGGTGCCATCTCTTCCCCAGGCAAGCAGGGCACATGCACTTGTGCATTCACATGATGTAAAAGAAAGCATGATTCATCAGACCAGGCCACTTTCTTCATTTGCCCCCTGGTTCAGTTCTGATGCTCAAATGCCTATTGTAGGTGATTTTGGCAGTGAACAGGGGTCAGCATGGGCACTCTGCCAGGTCTGCAGCTATGCAGCCACATATGCAGTTTGTGGCGATGCACTGTGGTCTGACACCTTTCTGTCCAAACCAGTATAAGTTTTCCAGTAATCTGTGCTACAGTAGCTCTTCTGTGGCATTGGACAGCGGGCTAGCCTTCACTCTCCAGGCACATTAATGAGCCTTGGGCATCCATGACCCTGTTGCTAGTTCACCATTTGTCTTTTCTTAGACCAGTTTTGCTAGGTACTAACCACTGCAGACTGGGATCACCCAACAAGACCTGCAGTTTTGGAGATGCTCTCACCCAGTCGTTTAAAATCATAATTTGGCCTTTGTCACAGTCACTCAGATCTTTATGCTTGCCCATTTTTTGTACATAAACTTTGAGCACTGAATGTTCACTTGCTGCCTAATATACCCCACGCACTGACAGGTTATTCACTTCACCTGTGGGTGGTCATAATGTTATGGCCAATCGATGTAAAGTACATCACTGCAGCAAGGTCAGATATTTAACTACTGGAGGTCAGCATGAATACATTATAAATATTAACATTAAGAAATTGTACAGTAAAGTTTGAACAATACATACAGTATGGTCCACTTTAACTTTTAAGACCATCAATAAGGTACCCTTAAGCAAGACACTCAACTCCAGAACAACTCCTGTAAAGCAGTTCCAGTGGGGCCAGTTGAGGTTATGTATCAAGCAGCCTGTGTCAAAGAGAGAACGTGTAAATGATATCCAGGCTGTTTCTTTTAGCTCCAAAGCCAGAGGGAGCAGGTGATAAACCTGAAAAGAGCAACAGCACTCTAACACAACACAGAGGTGGATATTGTACAGAAGTTAAAGTTCAAAGAGGCCATTGCTACATTCCCAAAAGCTTCCCAGCAGTTAATAATGGAATTTAATAGCTAAAGGCATATAAGATTGGCAAATAGGTTTAGGCAGCTAAATTCAATTCGTTCAGACTATTGGTTAAATGCTAGCTCTGTAATCTGAAAAAAAAAAACATGCACAGACATGTAGATCTGTAATGTTTAAATTTGTGTCCTGCATAGATTGAAGTGTTGGTAGGGACCTGAGTGGTGTCAACTTCCAAGAACTCTTTGCTTAATGATAAATCTACATTTATTCTACCGGACATCTGTTGCTCAGAGATCAGTGGCAAGAGACTCGATGTTAGATCCATCAAAGCAGTTAGACAGTCAGTTGCATTAGCTTCACCTTGCTGAACTTCTGTATTGGTTTTTGTTACCACCAGACACAGCAGTCCGTATAGACTCACCTCACCCTGCTGCACATAGGGGTTGGATAGGGCTTAGTAGCATCAATCACTATGCTGAGGCTGTTACCAGAGTAACCCCAGGGCACGACAAAAGTGTTACAGCTCAAAAAAATAAAACTTTTATGCCTCAGTGGTATTGTTAGATACTGTACATAGTAGACTGAAACTATTAAGATGCAGTGGTTTAAAAGTGTTTTTATAGAGAATAAATATAACAAAAACATCTATTTGCACCTAAAGAGCTTCCATCTTATTTTGCACTGTAAATTTTTTTAGTGACTGGCAGGATATAAAGAAAATATGGATTTGTCTGTGAGGCTAGAAAACTGGGCTTGTGGCCAGAATTTCAGAAGCTAATGAGAAACGCTCTCCCCTCTTTCGACACTACTGAGGTGTGAGTGTGTGTAATTATGAGTGTTATGCAAGTTGCTGGCCAAAAGGTGCATAACTTCTCCGGATAAATAAAGGTTGCTGTCATTTGTGCACCTGGTTTTCTGATGAAATGTCAAATTAAAGGCAGCGATACACAAAACAGCATGTTTGCCAACTCTGATGAGCAGCAAGTTTTTTTCCCCACTGGTGCTAAGCAACAACTCATTAGTTATTTCAAGTATTTTGCCTTAGATAGGTAGTTCTGCCTATATGCATTTTGCTCAAAACATGGCCTATTGGATCAGCACCGTTTGTATGCTCATGAAATCAGTGCTGTATTGCCTCAAAACAACCAGCCAAAGATGTTAGAGTGAGTAATGTTTGGTCATAAAATGAAGTCAGAGATTTGAATTTTTGGACTGAGCTGGGAAGAACTGGACTTTGCCTCAGTAGAATGCTGCAGCAGAAGATGTGCTGCATTAATCTGCTTTACAGTATCAAAAACAGAGTTCCAAACACATATTGTCTTTTTTTTCTCCACATCCACAGACATCCTTACAGAGACAGCTCTGTTAGTCAGGGACTAAAATGAGATGAGTTTAATTGTTAGTCCAAAATCATGATCAGCTGCTTGGTTGGACCCCATGGCATGGAGAAAAAGCTGACTAACCCTCCTATTGGGGTTGTTGCATGTGCTCACCACCTGACTTGCATACAAACTGCCTTATAGCCTTCTATAACTGAACTGGATTTCATTAGATTTTTTAACATTACAATAGGAAGGAAATTCCATCCATTATCTATACTGCTTATCTTGAAGAGGGTCACGGGAGGGCTGGAGCTAATTCCAGCTGACACTGGGCAGGAGGTGGGGTATACCCTGGACAGGTCACCAGTCTATCACAGTGCTGACACTAAGAGACAGACAACCACACACACCCAAACAGGCAGTTTAGCCACCAGTCAACCTAGGCTGCATGTCTTTGGTCTGTGGGAGGAAGCCAAAGTACCTGAAGAGAACTCATGCAAGCACAGGGAGAACATGCAAACTCCACACAGAAAGGCATTGGGTCGGTCTGGGCTTAAACCCAGAACCTTCTTGCTCTGAGGCAACAACCACCACACCATCATGGCACCCAGGAAGGAAATTGTTACAGAAATATAGGGAGGGGAGAGAAGAGTGGTTCCACTGCGTCATTGTTTTGATGAAAAACAGAAACTGAATGTCATAATCAATGACCCTTTAGTTTCTCTGTTCTTTTTTCATTAGCTCATTATGCTAATGAGACTTTACATAAAAGTTCTCTATAGATTGCACATTTGTGTGTCAGAAAAAGGGAATGAGTGACTGTGTGTGTATGCATGCACATGTAGCATACACACAAGCAGTCAGGATGAATTCAAATTTTGTACACTATTCATTTTTGTTTCTTCACCATTTGATGAACTTAAGCCATTAGTTTGCAGCAAGTAATTATGCTGCAGGTAGAGATAAGCCACACGGGTTTATAAAACGGCTACAAAAACACTACAGACACACACTAGAAAGTGTCTACCTCATGGCCATAAATATTGGCACCCCTGGATTTCTGTCAGATAACACCACTTCTCCAAGAAATTTGCTGAAATCACAATGGTATTCTCATGTTTATTTCTTTTGTTTGCATTGGAACAACACATAAAGGCAGAGAAAAAAGCCAAAATTGATACATGTTCTCCTCCGTATTCCTGTATTTCATTACCCTGGAAACTGATCAAACAAGATGAACCAAATGTCTTTGACTTGTTTGAGTTAATTGAAACTTACTGTCTGAGGTCAGAGATGTGAGTCCAAGATGTGTATTCTAATGCAGTAAAGTCACAAGGAGAGGGGGTTTGGGGTGTCTGGAGACAGGATCTGGGATATCCACCTGAGAGATAGTCCAGTGAGGAGTTTGCATGTGGCAGTCTTCTGGCTGGCTCTCAATGCCTAGAATCAAAGTGTAATATATTGTGAATATTTTGAGTCCCTCAAAATAAAACAAATTGCCTTACAAACTGTCTACTTTGGACTTGTGGACACATCTAACCACTTCTTCTTCTTCCTTCCTCAGGTTTAGAAAAAGTTGGTCGTGATTCCAGCTATGAACAAGAAGGGAAGGTTCAGTTTGTGATGGATGCAGTGTATGCTATGGCTCATGCACTGCATCGCATGCACCGGGAGCTCTGCTATGGATACCCAGGCCTCTGCCCGCGCATGGCCAATAACATTGATGGCAAAGAGCTTCTTAGCCACATTCGTGCTGTCAACTTCAATGGTGAGCTATTCAATACATTGTCTTTTGGTGAATAGTGTAGAGGATGTTTCCTACAGTTTATGGATTTTAAATCTAATACCTCGTAATAAGGGCACCGGGCTGATATGCGAGTCATGCAAATGATGAATTTATTAATCTAAATTATTATCATTTTTTAGTATGTATTATTAATCTTAATTATTAATCCTGTCTCAATACGAAAGTTATGAATTCTCAGTTAGGTGACTTATTTACCGAGACTAAAAGAGCTCTAATCTAATTGAATTTATTTGCATATGTACAGGGAGGGAAAAGGGGAATTGGGTTTTTTTAATTGGACCAGATGAGAAAGATGAACAAAAAGGTGCCTAATAGATCAGTGGAGGCATGACTGAATATGCTATTGGTTAGCAGTGGTGGAAAATTAGTTAAAATTACAACTATGAGATATCAACTTAACCACATAGGATTTATCTGATATCAGTGGCCAAGTAGAGAAAAATCTGTAGTTGAACCCTTTCTGGGTCAAAGAGTGGAGACTCGTGGCAGTCCAAAGTTCCAGGACTCCTCTGGACTGCATCCTTCGTCATTAAACCAGTTTTCTCCGTGTGTTTGGTGAAGCTGCTTCCCCTGGCTGTGCTGTGCTGTGCTGTGTTGTGCTGTGCTGTACTGCTGCGTTTTTTTTTTTTTCAAAGCACATGGCATTTTGGAGATGTCTCAAAGGAAACCAAGTTCAAACAACTCTGACTACTGCAGGATCATTCTGATGGCGTCTTTAGAGTTTAACAAATGATTCAGCTTAAATAAAACTTATTTTAGACTTTGTTTATAAACATTGGCTGAAAGATATTCACATCTAGTGTGCTGAAACTTGGCTTGGTGTCATGTGTGCCTATTTATAAACACGAAAGGAATAAAAAAACCTCAAAATACATTACTGAGAAAACACTTCTTGTAGTTATGCGAGCATACAATTTAGATTTAAAGAAGTAAGACAAAAACAGAAAAATGCAGACAACAGACACAGATGGATCACACACTTTTGGTTCAAACTTCATTCTGCACAAAGGGATGTGGGCTTGCCTAGTTTAATTTGCAGGTTTGAGCAGAAGGCTTCGTCTGATTTGCTGGGAGTCTGCAAGCTGGAGTCCTCTGACTGGCTGAGACTCTGTTGTTATGATGTTTAGTTCTTTTGGAAGCACACTGTGGGAATGTTCATGCCCCATCTCTGGGTGAGACAGTTGGTTTGGATTTTTGGAGAGAATTAGTAATTTAGTTTTAAGATGATTTTATACAGTTATAACTGGCATGGGAACTACATTTTATGCGACTGTAATGTAGGATTAATCACATTTAAACATAAAGTCCAAATAACACATATTCTAACATGAAACATTTATACATTTTGTGGAGAAGGTTAACTTTGAATAAAAAGAACAAAAGCAAACAATTATTATCACACTTAATCATAAAATTGAAAAATCATAAACAATTTCCTAAACTGGTGTTTAGCAGTACTTTCAAAGAATTTGATAAGATTAATACAGTAACTTGTTTGTAAAGACTGCTTTATAAGAGATGTAGTATCCAATTTTGGTCACAATATGTTGATAGTGGTCAATCTAAGAGTAGCTAATGACATGCTGGTCTTTCCACTCAATGGAGACTGAGCAGGTCTTAATGCTCAGATCGAATTTTTTGCCGAAATCCGATTTTTTTGCGCTGTTCACACTGTCATTTAAATGCGACTGCCATCTGTCTCATGTGTGAACAGTATACGGCCCTGAGGTGACCCGCTTGCGCAGAAGAGGACGTGACGTCAGACGCAGCATACTGTGTTTGCGAAAATAAAAATGGATGCGGCTACCCACATGCTATCATGTGGGTAGCGATGTACCAGTTAATGTACAATCGAAATAAAGAAATAATAAGAAGAAGAATATCAAGAAGAAGGAGAGCACAAATATTGCTTATGGCCTTGCCTTCTCCAGCGCAGAATTGTGACGTCTGTCGCATTTCAATGACATAAAAATTGCATGAAATGCGACCTGGCCGTTCAGACTGAAGTCGCATTGCAAAACATCGGATATGTATCCAATTTAGGACCACATATGAAAGTGGCCTGGGCCGGATTTGAAAAAATCGGATTTGTGCTATTCATACTGTCATAGGGAAATCGGATATGGGTCACATTTGGGCAAAAAGATCGGATTTGAGCTACTTCAGCCTGCAGTGTGAATGTAGTCTTAAACACTGCAGAAAATCAGGAAGCTTTTAACCACACATAATAGAAATATTTCATGGACAGTCTACACGCTTTGGTTCACATTATGTATGTTTTCAAGTCAAATATAATATTTTCACTGTTAGAAGAGAAAGATGATTGGAGGAGTCTTCTTCTGCCTCCGTCCCTGCCTGTTCCCCAGCTGCAGCCACCGGTTCCTGAGTCGCCACTACCTTCGCCAGCCACTGGACCATGGCAGTACCTCGTCCCCTCAAGCTGCAGTCACAGGTGTAGACGGTGACCAGCACAGTCAGTCCCAGCACCCCAGTCCGCCAATGGTGATGTCCCCTCTGGCACAGCTACATGTCTGTGCCAACAAAGAGGCTAGCACTGGGGAGCCTGAACCTGTTCCCGAGTGGGTCGGCTGGAACGCTGACGTTGCCTCCGAGTCTGTTCTCGAGCAGGTCGGCTGGACCACTATCGCCGCCTCTGAGTCTGTTCTCAAGCAGGTCGGCTAGACCGCTGTCGCCGTCTCCGAGTTTGCTCTCGAGCAGGTCAGCTGGAATCCCGACACTGCCTCGGCAAAATTAGGCAGTGCGGGCATCCCCACTGAGTTGTGGTTTTTTGGTGTGTGCCGATGAAGGTGTCCCCGCTGAGTCCTCATTTACTCAGTTCACCAACAGTAGCATCCCCGCCAAGGCTCCGAATACTCAGTCTGCTGACAAGAACGCACCTGCCGAAGCCTCTGCCCCTGACTTCGAGCAGGTCGGCTAGTATGCCAATGGTGCCTCTATTCCTGCTCCTGAGCAGGTTAGCTGGACCTCCGACACCACCTCTGAGCCTGCTCCTCAGTGGGTCCGCTCAACTGCCAACACTGCCTTCGAGCCAGTTTCCAAGCAGGTCGGCTGGACCGCTCTTATTTTTGTCTCATTTCCTGTTTCCTGCCTCCTCACTGACTCCTGCTACTTGTTTTCTCAGCTCCCCAACCTTTATATACTTCTCCCTTCTCCTCAGTTAATTGCAGGCTCACTCCATACTCATGTGTGTACTGTTCCATGGACAAGTCTGTGACTGATCTCTGTGTCTGCTCCTCCACTATACTCCGTCTGCGTGACCCTCTGTGATTCCCCAAGTATCCTGTATCCTGTCTCCCGTCACCTGCTCTCCACTCGCCACCTCAAGGACCTCTCCCTGGGACTCCTGACACCTGCTCACCAGCATCCTGCACATTTTGGGCTTTCCTTTTATCTCTGTGAGTTTTGTTATTGTGTGTTCTCCCTGCCTTGTCTTGGAGATGTCCTGAGTCTATCTTTGTTTCTCCAGGTGACAGGTTGTTTTCAGTTTGTGTTGAGTACTTTTGGTTAATAAATTAGATAAACCTTACCCATGTGTCCATGTCTTTGCTTTGGGGCCAACTTAGTACCACACCCTGACATAGCCTAAGAATTGATGTATTTACTGTTGTTTCTTTATTTGTCTCTCCTATGAAATCATGAGATATGAGTCCTACTTAATATACTGTTTATGTCAAGATTATGGTGAGAAGGAACCAATCGGTCTGATAATTACATTCCCAGCTTTCTTCTTTAATTTATGAAAGTTAAGAAGGTTTTCTAAGCCCTTGGGGCATGCCTGAGGCAGTAAAGTAAAACTCAGGACTCCTCTTTGTCTGGGGCAGAAGGCACTTTTAAAACAAGATGCAGAACCTCTTGTAACATCTAACAAATTTTCCAATTGCCAAAACTTTTCCTTTCGTTGTCTGCCACTTCAGGGCATGGTCCTTCGATTCTGTTCTGATTCTCCAAATTACTTGGGTGCAACCTTTCTCAAATTTCCCTTTTCTTTCATTTTTCCTCACAAGTTAAGCCATGTGATTTTTAAAAAAAATTTGTAGTATTTTTAGACTATTGATAATTAGCATCCCAGCTCCATATTAATGTTTCCAGCACAACAACTTGCTGAATTGGCATCAGAGACCCAGCTGCGTCATTGGCTGTTTGTGAACAGGCCTGCTCAAAACAAATCAAACCATTTCAAGCTCTGATTCTCAAGCAGGCCTGCCAGGCAGTCCCGAAGACAGGGACTCTTCAGGACAGGCCTTCTGAAGAGACTCCAGAACTCAGACTGAGCTGAGCCAACCAAACCTCCAGGGGACCAGTCCATCCTCAGCTGTGGTCCGACTGACTCAAGAACAGTCAAGACCAGTCCACTCCACTAAGCCAAGCTAATGTTGTTTAATCTTTGATTCTGACAAAATCCCAATTTTCCAAAATCCTCTCTTTTTGTAGTTACAAATTTTTAACATAATTAATAACCCATACTTTCCATCTCACCATAATCATCAGGATAATTTTGGGGGTCAAGTTAATCAAACCATTCAATATTAATCCAATCATTTTATTCTCTGTTCTATCTTATCATTTACTTGCCGGTTCAACTGCATTCAGTAGCCATTTGATTATTATTTTTTGATTATTCTTATTAATAGAAAGCATAAAATTAAGCTCTGCTCTCTCTTTATTCCTTCTAAGTGTAAGGGCAAGATCACTGTTTTGACAAGAATGCAGCCTTCGGGCTTGAGGTTAATAATTTGGTTGATAATCTGATTATGAATGATTGATTGTTAACCATAAAACATTAAACATCTTGGTTGTTCCACTGTTAACGGAACTGGTTCTCTGAAGTAATCATTTTATCTACCAAACTGAGACAGATCCACTACAATAGTGTCTCGTTGTAGATAAAGAGGTTAGATAAAAGGGAGTAGACGGTGTTATACCCCAGTTCTTTTATTGGA